ATTAATTCCCTACAATTACAAATGAATAAGTAATTTCATTACACAGATTATGATATAACATTAATAAATATTGTAATTTATTTTACTTTCAAATTTAAACACAATTAAAATACATATACAATTATTTATCTAATAAATATAGTTAAAATGTATATATTTATCATACTTGTATGACTATTCCAGCTGTAATTGACTATTAACAGACTGTAGTGGTCTCATCTCGTGCGCTTTCTTTCCCACGCACAGCCTCATAATAAACACTCCTGAGGTAAAATAAAAACGACAGAGCCTCAGCTTCTTCTCTCCGGTTTTACCTAGTTTCACCTATTCATACAATACAATATGAAAATGTAACATTCATCACCATAACCATTCATAAATACTCTAGTTTGCATAATTATAACAACATTTATGAATACTCAAACGCATATGTGAACCCTTACATTGCAGAGCCTTTAAAAAGCTCTTTCAACGGCTCTACTCCAACGCGGTGCGCAATGACATGGGTGATTTTCCCTCTCCACTTCCTCTGAAGTGATGTATTGATGTTCTGGATTGGAATCTCATTTAAGATGGCGGAAAACCCTGTGAAGTCCACTTCTCAGTTCACTTTTACGGTGCGTTCCAAACGGGATATATCGCCCTCCGAAGGGTACTTTGGAGTGAAAACAGTCATGGCCGCCATATTGAAGGGTCGTTCCAAAACGAAGTGCTCAAATCTGGCCACTTCAAAGGGCCCTTCGGAATGAAGGATTTCGAAGGGTACAACTGATGTACACTTCAGGGTCCCATGATCCTTTGCGCAGATTCTTTGCATGATGACGGTGCCTCCGTGTGGGCACGTGATGATGATGCAGAAGGGACAAGCAGGAGCTAAACACAGGATGGAAACACTGGGAACAATGGGAACAGCAAACACACTTCAAAGTAAGAGTCCATATGGTAACACCAATGATCACAGATCCAAGGCACATGTAACACATATAAGTCTGCATGCTTTACTTGATGAGCACACTTAGCATTTAGCATGCTAATATGTGCTGTTGGTCACTAACAGTTTAGATAGCTAGTACTATTTTATGATTCAGTGATGTGAAAAAAAATATATATATAGAAAATTGAATGAATTCCTGTCAGGGAACAATATAAAATCACAAATAGCTGCATTTTATGATGTTGAAGTTACATGAACAAATTATGTTTGTTTTACTTAATTGACTGATGTGGAACTGATGTTCATGCTTAAGTCATGTAAATTAAACATACCTTTTTTTTAGTTTATGATCTTAGTAGCATCTGCTCAGTAGTATATACTCAGACAGAATCTGATTTCGGACGTAGTGACATCCCTGCTGAAAAAAACAAACAAACAAACAAACAAAAAAAAAAACAGTAGAAACCATCATAGAAATTCTAATGGTTTCCACTACAAATACCATTACAAACATTACAAACCATCAACTTTTAACCATTAAAACCATTAAAAATGGTTTCCTGTAGTGTTTTGGGACATATTCCATTAGGATTTAGTGGTTTTAACAAGCCACCAATAGAAGGTGACCAATTACCAGTAGAGACTAATAGGCTCCATTACAGTTTCCATTAAAACCAGTACAAGTCCCATTATAAACAGTAAAATCATTACAAATTCTGTGATGGTTTCTTTTTCTTTTTTTTAGCAGGGATGCTGTGTCCCAATGTGCCTACTTATACTACACCCTTAAAGTATGTTCTCTTTTGGTGAAGAAAAAGTACACACTTTTGAGAGTGTAGTAGAAGAGTAGGCAAGCTGTGGGACATACTATCACATCATACAATTGCGTCTATAACGGACCGCTCTCTTGCATAGTTACATGCTCCCTGTCACTATAAACTGGCCTGTCAATCATCTTGTCACAATTAACAGCCTACACATTTCATTTAATTTAACTTCCTACTGTATCGGAGAGAAAAGAAGTAGCACGTTGGTCTGCCAGCCATGGGTCTTTATGCGGAGAATTCTGCTCATATTATTTTGCATAATGATGCATTTAAAAGTTAATAGCCAAACGGATGATAATCAAAGCTCACACTGTTGTTGCAGATGAAATATAACACAGATAACATAGAATAAACATTTTGACCAGGCTAAATGTTGATTATTAGTAACTCAAAACCCTTTATCTAAACCTCTCTAAGTATCGTCAGTTACACACATCCGCCATGTTTGTAGTTTTTTAATGCTTTTTATTCATGTTTGCAGTTCTGAACTGAATGCTTCGCCAAAGCGCAATGGATTGTGTGCAATATTAGTCATTAGAGTGTGCACGGATCCACACTTCAAAAATCTACCTGAAATAGTAGACCATCCGGGAACTTTTGGTATACTATTTTCAACATATTATGCTTTGGGACACACATATTCTAATCTCACATACTATTTAGGATGGATAGTACCGAAATTGGGACGCAGGGACAGTTTTTAGGAAACTATATAAGCAATTAAAAAGTGCATTATAATCATGACAGTATTCACAATGTTTATTAAAATATAGGCAGCGTCTATTTACACTAAGTGTAAATAGCAATTAGATGCTGTTTATACTAAGGGAAAATAGCAGTATTTACTAAGCAATAGATGCCATTTACACTCAGTGCAAATTGCAATGGATTCTATTTACACTATGTTAAAATAGCAGTATTTTCTGCTATTTATACTACTTATTGCAAATTGTAGCGTATGGACCAATCAGACTCACCGTTTTTCATTAGATTTAACAAATCAATTATTCATTAGATTAACAAATAGTCACAGACCCCTCACCCAATAAACATACTGGGTGCCAGGATGTCTGCAAACGACACCAGGCCCCTGGTCACCATGGCAACCACGACACCTTTTGCTAGACCAGATACACTTTACGACCTAATGGCATGTTGAGAGTTCTCCCTTTCACTACATTTTCCATAGGAAAGACACCGTTCTTAGAATTGACAGACAGTTGACCCTGAGAGGTCAAGTAAATACTTACAGCGGATCTAAATATTTATAATTAATTATAACTAGTTATGATTAATTATTCATATTTCCCCTTTGAGCTGATTCGCTACAAAATAGTGGCCGATATCTGCAGCTCAGTATTGTAGGACATTATAAAACAGTATGCAATGATAACGTATTGTAGTAAAGGCTTTCACACCAAGAATGGTGTGAAACATAAAGATAAAGATAACTATAATGATAACTATATTAGCATTCACGCTAAAGCACAATAACATTCTGAAGCTCTTTAATACCTGGTGGAGTCTGATTGGCTGTCAATGTCAGTGAAAGTGATTCCAACTATACCGTTCCTCTGTTGCATTATCGTTATAGTTGTAGTGTGGACTTCACTCTTTTCTTAGAGTTAGAGCGATCAATTCATATGTCCTTGGTGTGAATGGACCTTCAAACAACAGATGTGCATGTTTTCCAACTTCAAACACACCAGATCAGGAGCATGATGTTTCATGGCTTCCTTCTTTTCTTTATATCATCACAGAGGTAATACAGAGATCTGTATGACATGAAATGATATGAAAGAAAGATATGTGCATTTGTCCCCCAGTATGCTTTTAAATGTTGTCTCCAGTAAATCTGCTTTATCATCCTCTGCTTAACTTTTGGCTTAGTCATGTACTGCAGTGTAAACAGGATCCTTCTGACTCAGCAAAATGACAGATGAATTGACTCACACTCACTATGACATGACATTATATATGTTTAATAAACACTCACCTATGATCTCACTTACACAAACTCACCATCCCAGAGAAAGTATGTGAGCAAAAAGATGAGGAAAAAATGAATATAATAAGTCTGTAGATTATTTTGTTAAGAACAAGAATTATGCAAAGTGGCCAGAAATCACAGAAAAGGGCACATGACAAGTTTTTAAAAACCTTGTAAAAGTAAAGGAATCTTCTCACAATAAAATCCTTTTAAAGTCCTACAGTGATAATGACTATTTTTGCATTCAAAATAAACTACATCACTGTATCCACGAATGTCTGACATATACATAATAAAATATTTGAACCCTTTCATTTGAATTAGATGAATACGAAATAAAAAAAATGGGTTAAGAGTTCTAAGAGACATTATTATAATAAAGTTATAAAGCAACGTTATTATTATTATTATTGGAACATAATGTGTATTATATTTGAAACATACAATAGCCACAACATACAAGTTAAAAGGGGCACAGCTGGATGACTCACAAAACCTGTCAAGGTAGATTTCTGGCCCACTTCAGGTCTTGCAGTCTCCACTAATGAGCTGATGAGTTGAATCAGGTGTGATAGATGAGGGAGACATACAAAATGTGCAGGGCTGGGGGTACTCCAGGACAGGTTTGAGAACCACTCCTGTAGACATATTCACTACAGGAATTTGCATGACTTTTTAAAGAGTTTATTCATTCCCATGACTTTCTTGGGACTGAAAATAACAATTTTCAAAATCCCTAACAAATTCCCTAACCCTGCGAATAAGGTAAACATATTCCATTAAAAAGCAAACCCTCCACAGTCAAAAGCACCAAAATCTGAGTCTCCCTCAAAGTCGAAGCTGTTGACATGTGGCGACTCTATGGCTTGGCTGCAGGCATGGTAAGAGCTGCCTCCCCCCATCTCCGATAATGCTGTGGAGTGGGTCACTTCAGGAGCGTGGATGGCCATGTTGGAGGAGGCGGATGGACAGGAGTTGAGGTATCCCAGCGCCGAGGATGCGGCTGCTCCACCCATCAGCAGACAGACCGCTCTCACGGCCCGGGCATTGCTGCTGTTTCCGTGCCGCAGACAGTCTGCAGAGCGAAGGGGCACAGCCGCGGTGGGGCTGTGGGGAGGCCGCTGCATTTATGCTGCCTAAAGTTCACAACAGAAACAGTTGTAGATAAGTGAACATCATGAACATGCTGACCTTGTAGGCTCAATCACAGAGGCAGTTCATTATGTGCTGAGTCAGTGTTTACATAGATTAGAGAGCAGTGGCAGCACTTGAGCCCACTTTATTACTGTTATTGACAACACTGTTCCTGACACAGTTAAGCTGCCACCTTTCTCCTACTCAACTTCAAACAAAACAAAGTGACCAAGCTCAGATGATGTTATTACGATATCTAAAACTCCTAATGGCAAAAAGACACGATTCAAACACTAACATGTTTTACAACCAACCGAAACGAACAGCCTGTTATAGCAAGAGCTGAACTGCATGAGTGTATTTGACAGGAGCAGGAGCCCTCACTGGGCTAAACTCGGGAACAGGAGCCCTCCGTGGGCTAAACTCGGGAACAGGAGCCCTCTTTGGGCTGGATTCGGGGGCTGGAGCCCACACTGGAGCGAGCTCTGGGGCTGGAGCCCACACTGGAGCGAGTTCTGGGGCTGGAGCCCACACTAGGGCGAGCTCTGGGGCTGGAGCCGACACTGGGGTGAGCTCTGGGGCTGGAGTCGACTCTGGAGCGAGCTCTGGGGCTGGAGTCAACCGACTTCTCCTCCTTAGATTCCCCTTTAGGTTCGGGGTGAAAGGTGTGGTCGGCAGGTTTGAGTGAGCCGCGGCCGGCGGGCTTGACATCGGAGCGGCCGGCAGGCTTGACTGAGCCGGGGTCAGCGGGCTTGACAGAGGAACGGCTGGCGGACTTGACTTAAGAGTGGCCGGCGGGCTTGAGAATGCCGCGGCCGGCAGGCTTGACTTTGAAGCGGCCGGCGGAGGGGTTCCGGATCGGGATCGGAGGCTCTTCAGACACCAGATGACCGCCTCCTTCCAGTCGAGGTTGGTGGTGTCTGGGAGTTCCGTGGGGCGATGGTATGTGATCCCGAGCCAGAACAGCGTCACCAGGGTCTACCCATCCAGGGAGCTGGCGAGGGCGAGCGGGTCATGGCTCGCCTGAGCCACGGCGATGAACATCGCTCGTTCCTCCATGTTGGCGGGGAGAAACGAAATGGAAAACAAAAGACTTATAAAACAAAAACAAAAACACGGGAGAAGGGGCGCCGCTTACTTTTCTGTTTTGGTCTGGAATTCTGTCACGGTTCGCTACTGTGGGGAGTACGGAGACGAAGGAGCGAGGAGACGAGGAGTGGAATTCAAATATATAGATTTTAATAACATCCAGTGAACAAGGAAAACACACATAGCAAGGGTAGACATATACAATTCCGGACGAGGGAGAACAGAACGGGCTAGAACTCAAAAAAGGCAGATAACGAGGGGCAGACAGGTGAGGAGGATAACTAATAACAAGGAACACCTGGAACTAATAGAACTAAATGGGGACAGGAACAGGACGGACCAAATAAAGGCAAGGAAGGCACATGGGGAGCAAAACACACACAAAGCAAGGAACAGAGTCTGACACGTACAGTGTTACCTAAGAGAATTCCAAATAAACCTTTCAGTAAGGAACAGAGAGTAGGAACGGAAAAACTACCCATAATCCTAAGGTCAGATTCAGCAATCAGGGTGCATTTCCTAAAAAGCATCGTTAGACAACTAGGGTCATAAGTTCCATCATTACATGTTTAGTGTTTCCCAAAACATTAGTTCAAACAACTTAGGAGCATAGTTTTTTTTTTTTTT